AACTTTCGTGTTCCAGTAAATTTAAAAACTCTCTTATAAATGTCATATCGCCATTGTGATTCTTAAGTCAACACACTTATCACTTTCCAAAAGGATATTAAAATGTCAAGTTAAGGCAATTTATCATGGAACTATTCTACTGTAGTCACAAAAAAAAATTTTTTTATAATATCTTTTTATATAATTTCTTAATATTTACAGAATATAAAGACTTTAGTAATTTATTGACAGTCATTAGTTATGACTGCTTTTTCACAATAAATTGACTTTTAATAAACACATTATATATATTCTATCAAAATAAAAATAAATTAAAATCATTAAGAAGATAATTATATTAATGCATTTATTTGAAATTAATGTAAACTATAAACATATAAATTCAATCACAACAATAAAAAAAATATAAATAATTTATACTATAATTAAAATAATACATTTATTTGAAAGTAGCAAATAAAATGTTCACATAATTTATTTGAATTTATCTATGAATTATAAAAAATTAAAATTATTAAGGCAATTAAAAATGCATTTTATTTCGAAGTGGCGATATATTGTCACATAATTTATTTTAAATTATATATTAATTGTTTATATTATATAGTTTTTACTTAATGTTAACAAATATTGTTATTCCGTAAAATCATGACAGATATAGATATCTATTAACTACATGTGCAGTATATACTTAGAGTTGCACACGTCTCTTATCTAATGAATTTCAACATTTCCTGTTGTAATATTATATATTGTACCTATATGTAATTATAATGTATATATATATATAATATATATACGATATGTCTATATATGTATATATGCAATATGAATATATATACATACGTAATATGTTATTTGTGATTCTTCTTGTTAAAAAACTATAATGTATATTTAATTAGTATTAGGAAACTCTATGGTAGGGTTGGATACAGGTTTAATTATCAGTAAATACAATTATAAATCAGACTACCATTGTCAGAATCCAATTGCTATTTAATGAAAGCTTCGTCCTATTTGCTATATCAAACTATTTCTTTTTACGATATATTTCTTATTATAGTAACTCATTATAGTAAGATACTATATATTTTCGTTCTCATATCACTAATTTCATAGTTATAACATAAGATTTTAATACTCATTTTAATAAGTCATATCAACTGGAGTATACACGTGGAGGCTTATGTGTTCAAACCTATTTAAAACATTTTTAATCAATATAAACTAGATATGATTAATATTTTTCAATCAAATTTTTTTCAAATAAACCTTAAATTAGAATTCAAAAATATCCATTAAATGAGACTGGTCTTATATGTAAGTCTATACTCATAATAAATTTATAAATAAAGCTCTAGCTACCTTCCTTATAAAGTATTTATTGTGTTCATATTTCTATAATAGAATCAAAAACGTTGATATTCAATAGTTCATTAAGCCATCGTTGATGAACTGATAACATTAGTTTGTAATATTGAAAATATTTGTACTTTTTCTATAGAATTTTTTTGTGGAAATTATTATTCTATTTTTATTTTTGTTTAAAAATTTAAAATTTTTCGATTTTATTCTATTTTTAGTTTTACTTAAAAAAATTAAGTTTCTAAGCAGATACTTTTTTGTTTGATATAATTCCGTTTAATGCTGTTAGCTGGTATACTGGCTGTTGTATACATTTTAATTTATTTTATTACCTGCAATTTGGATTTTGATTACTTTAATAGGTGCATTTGAGAGTACCGACACTCTGTATCAGTAAAAGCATATTACTTTTACTACTTCTATTCACTTCTTCTTTTACTATACTACTAAGTATATTATTTGATTTTTTCAAAAAGCTGTATTTAATTAAACCTGTTATATATTTTTGAAGAGGCTTGTTGGACCATTGTGTAAATAATAAACAATTTGTTTAATTATTTAAAAAAAAAAATATTTTATTGGCACTAATATTTCAACTATAATCTATAGTCATTTTTCCTGAAGATGTGTCGTATTCAAATTATTGATTAATCAAACCGTTCAAAAATATATAATTAAATCTGATGAACTGAACTACTACTATATGTAGTTCAGTTCAACTCATTATAAGGGTAATATTAATGTTAGACTGCATAACTTTGGCAAAAGATATTGAGGATTTTTATTTTAAATTAATTAATTAATTAAATCATAAAAGAGGGAGTTGGCATTGCGAAACAGGAAATTTCACAAATATTTTCGTCATATGATATTTGATTTTGAAAATGTAAATGATATAAGAATTTCTTTATACTAATAATTTTTTTGAAATATAAGTATAAAAAAAAATATTCTAATAAAAATAATAAAAAAATCCTATTTTGTGAAGTCGAATTAAGCACTGTAATAATTGAACTACTTATTGATTTGATTATTTTAACTTAATTTTAATTATTTAACTCAATTTTATTTTAATTATTTATAATAAATACATTAATTCAAACAAATTATGCGTTTGTTACTTTCAAATAAATTTATTATTATAATTATGGTATAAATTATTTTTAATGTTTTTTTTAATTAATTGGATTTCATTTACATATAGTCTATACTAATTTCAAATAAATACATTGATATAATTATCTTTTTAATTATATTATTTTATATTATTTTAAATTTGAATGGAGCGATGATCTGAACGATAGCCATACAATCAAAATGTATATTAAATAATTTTTCTAACATTTTTGCTGAGGTGTTCAATTTAATCTCACGCTTAATACTTTACACAGATGTATGCGACAGCATGATCTTGCGCCACTCTCACTCTCACTCTACACTCAGTTTCTCATATTGTTTGCATTTACTCAGCAAAAATTTAACTGAAATGATATGAAATTTGGGTCGTCAAATGAATACAAAATAAAAACAAAATAGTAATAAAATTTATCTCTAAATTTGTATGTGTAAACTCTCTCAGAGTTTGTGATCTAACATATAGTATATGGCAATGACAATTATATGACTAAATAACAGAGGCCGTTATTTGTTTGAGAACGAGAGTCGCTGAGAGCGGCAACCAACAGTTTATTAAAGAACAACATATACATTTGCTGTAAATATGCAATTAAAACAAAAATATTAATAAACAAAATAAAGAAATAAAATATAATTTACTCAACATTTACACAAATGACACTAACACAACTAAGATTTATATCGTTTGCATTTTAATTGTTGTCTATTTAAGTTCTAATTTCTTTAATTTTCTATATAATATACAAATCCCAGACATTTAACAGTTGCTTTTACACTAATTTTCCCATAAGTTCCTTTTTTATCAACAATCAACAGTTTTCATTGTTTAGTAAGTCGTAATATATGCTTTTCATTTCCTTCAACTTCGTTGCTTGTTGTCACTGTTGCTGTTAGTTGCTAGGCAGCTGATTTCTTTCACACTGTGGGTTACTTGCTAGTGACGTCACAGCGTTTCACTTACCTTCTTCGTTGTGTGACTTCGACACTCTTTTTTTCCTCTCTCTCTCTCTCTCTCTCTCCCTGTAGGTTTCTCTCTGTTTTGTTTTGTTTTGTTCGGTATGTAGCTGCATGTGTGTATAGATTGTATAGTCAAGATTTGAATTCTGTATGCATATCGCAAGTCACGTTGGTGTGCGTGTGTGTGAACAGTTGTTTCGTTTGCTCTGCGCTTGGTCGATCATGACGACCGCCGTATATAAAGGCCACAGTATCTGCGACGAACTCTTAGATTTTCAAGCAAAAGCGAACAGTGCGCTTCAAATTTTTAAATTTCAATTAAAATTAAAAAGTGAAGACAATTTTCTAAAAACTTAACGTGATTCGTACTCAATTTTGTACTTAATTTTTGACATAATAAAAGCAGAACTTTTTAACGTGATTTTTTTTTTTTTGTCAAGACATTGCAATATTTTCAGTTGATTTCGAAAATCAAAAGTGCAATAAACTACAAACGTTTTTTGTGTTAGAATTTGAATAAAATAAGAAAAGTGGTTTTGTTTCTTTATTTTACTGAACTTTCAAGCTCCGCAGTGTGATTTCGCTTGTATTGTTTCGCGTGTAAGGCGTTTCAAAATAGGGCGAATAAAACTACTCAATCAGATGTACTACTTAGTGGCCTACAGTTAACAATTACTGCATTAAAAAAGCTAAATTTTTAGCTTTGCAAATAAAGAAAAACTCTTAAAACTAACAGTACACCCACCAAAACCAACAAAAGCAAGTTATAAATAATATTTATAACAAAAACTACACCACCAACCAAGTTCGTCATTATAAAGCAGCAGCAATAGTTGCCACCACTTAAACTAACACGAACCCCTCCTAAGAGTGACACGTGGTATCTACCTTCCAGAGCAAACACGCAACCTAGCCACATCTAGAAAATCGATAAAAATTCTAGTCAAATTGTTGAATGTTGAATGTTCATTCGTTCGTTGTCCAGTAAAAAAACTATTGTCAGTCTGTTAGCGACCTTCTGTACGTTCAACTCAACTCAACTCACTTCAGCTCAGCACAAGTTAAATTATAACAAAATCAATTGAACTGAAGTGAATTTAACGTCGTCGTCGTCGTCATCGTCATCGTCGTTGTCACACACACCTCAGTTCGACTCTCGACTGTGCCCAGCTAAATTCCACTTCAATTAGGAAACGTTTTATGTTACCAACCAACCAACCTTCGGAAGTTTATGCAAATAAAAGTTTAATTTAAAAACAACAACAAAAACAATAACAACGCAATACTCCTCGTAATATAACACAAATATCATTTGAGGAAACATAAAAAAGAAAGATATTAATAAAGTTAATTGAACTGTGATAAGAAATATCATTGCTTTTGCAATTTGCAATTTGTTTGAGATTTCAGTACTTTTTCATTAAAATTCATTTAAATTTTACAACATTTAATTATCAATTAAAAAAACTACATACACATATACATACAAACAAAATGGTTGGAAGTACTGGCACAATAATGACAATTCGTCTTGTTCGTAGCAAATTACGTAAACGTGAAGAATCCTCAGCCGCTACACCGGCTACGATCGAAGCTCAACAACCAAACTTTGGCCTACAGAATCGCTCCAACAGTGCCACAAATACAAACTGTGATCGGCATCAGGATCATCAGCAACAGCAAACCATATTCACCACTGCATCATTGGTGCAATGCAATAATGCCAACAATGTGAATAATCATTTTAACAATAATAATTGCAATAACTTACACAACAACAATTGCAACCACAACACCAACCTAGAACAACAAGACCAAATAACATTCATCCGCACCAATGGAGTCGGACCCACTAATAACAGTTGGGTATTCCCACCAAAAGCACCAACGCCAAACATCTACAACTGCAGCAATAATGTAAGTAAATAAAGTCTATTCTATCTAAACTAAATATATAATTTTTATTTTTATATAAATAATAATAACATATATAACTAGTAGTAGTTTTATATACTTTATATACATATACTATATATACACTATATATAATATGTGTGTAAAACAATAAGTATAGTGAATATATTTATGTACTATGTTATATTCTGCTTAATAAATTACGCTAGTCGTTAAAGCACATTACATAAATTTACAGTGGAGCGAGCTAGAAAAATTTTTGGATAAAACTTAAAGCCATATTAAAATAAGAAAATAGTTTGAAGAAGTTAGACAAAATATATATATATGTTTGCTTAGAAAATGACATACTCTTATTTATTCTCTAATATTAATTACATTTGAATGAGGTTAAGGAATTAGAATATATAGTTTAATATTTTAATTTAAGTTTCTAATATAGAAGTTAGACGGATAATATATTTGTACTTAAAAAAATGATTTACAGTTTATTTTATGTTTGAATATTAATTATGTTAGAATGAGTTTTATCCTTATCGGAGATATAAAGTTCTTTTTAGGTTAGAAAGCACTAACTTTTATTATATTTTGTTTATTTACTTATACCATTATAGAATCACTTCCATAAATATTTAATAAATGAAATATAGATTAGTGCCATGACAATTAATAGATATACTTTGTTATAAATTTTATTAGCATAATTTATTGTGTTATATTATATAAATTGACATACCAAGTCATAAGCATAAAGTCCAAGAAATAAAGATTAGAATACTAGAAAAAAATATTATCGTAAAATTCAATTACTAATTGAAATTTTATTTCAAAAACTGAAAAATAAATTAATAATATTAAAATGTTGTAAAATTTTCATTAGTTATTAGTTTCAGTTACGTAAATCATTAACGTTTAGTTTTGGAAACACACGTACATTTCTGCTTAAGTAGTAAATAAATTATAAAAATTAATATTAATTAAAAGCAAAATAATTTAACAAAAACGACAACAAATTAAGTTGCTTGAAATGCGGCCAAGTACAGTTGTGTGCTCTATGGCAAAATCAAGAACAGAGTTGAGATGTGACAATACTTGGGTATTTCACAGACACAAATATAGATTTAATTTTAAACAAAGTGTCATCTCTGTTTTATTAATAAAAATGCAAGAGTGTCAAGTATTTAGTATAATTTAGAATTATTTTAGCTACTCTAACCCACAAGAAATCAGCCAAAAGAGAACATTTTTAGTGTATTTAGAAAATTCTATACCAACAGTATATTGCGATTTAGAATAATAATTTTATTAGTTGTAGTTTTTAATTGATTTATTAATATAATTTAGCACCAGTAATTTTAATTAATTTGTTTAAAAAAAATACTGATGAATGACTGAGGTGTTGAAGGTACTAAAACTAATGTATTGTTGGAAAACAATAGGTTTCAGATTAAAACAATTTCATATTGTCAACGCAAAATTTTGTTACGTATTAATAATCTTGATTTTTTCCATAAAGTTAATTAAATATAGTTCTTTGTTAACTTTTGTTACGTATATATATTACTTTGTTATTATAGTTTAAGCGCATATAACATTAATCATTGTAGCTGTTGATGCTTTCCATCTAGTGTGAAAACGATAAATTTGCTGCGAAATAAGACTCACTTCACTTCGTAGATTATTGAAGTCTTCTAAAATTGTGTGTAAGAGAATATTCTTACACTTTAGTGCTGAATCATATCTTTAAACCATAATAATAACAATAAAAAAATGTGTGTAAAATACTTCAGTAACCATTTTTGTAGATCTTATACTTATATATATAGTCTTGGTATATTTTGCAATCATATTTCCTGATGCTGCCCACTGTTAGTACAAAAATAGATCAATATAGACAAGTTTTGTGCATTCTAAGTTCACAAAGCATGCCATGGCTGTACAGCTCAATACATTTATAGATAAAAATACTTGAAAAATCATAATAAAATGACATTCATTACCTGTTATATACAAGAACCAACATACATAGTCAGATGTAGAGGCAGTGAATTCATATTGCAGTCTCATTATCTTAGCAAAGCTGCTTTAATTCCTGGTTACTAAGTGGCTGTATAAGTGTTTGTATGTAATAAAATGTCTATGTATAATTGCAAAAGATCTAATGAAAAATATGCCAAGTCAGATAGAGTATAGAGATCATTTTTGTCTAAAAACCAAAAATATAAAAAAAAAACAAAAACCTCTATCTATAGAATATGAATACAAATCCCAAACAGCAGTTGCTAAGAACAAGTTTATTTATATTCATGCCACACTAAGCACATAAACTCAGCTGCATGTATGTATGTATATATGCGACTGTGTATATGTATGCGAATTATATATGTACGTACATATGTTATAAGATTAATAGGTTGTCTGGAAAAGGAATAGGTATGCGCACCAATGTTGTATATAATATATATAACTATGTGCTAAATACATATGTATATATATGTATTAAATGATAGGCAATATTTTTTATTAACAACAACAACAACAACAATAAGAAAATAATAAAAGGTTTCTTTGAACCCAAATGGAATACAGTGGGAAAAAAGTATCAGCAGGTAATACTTGACAGCAGACGGGCAAAGTCAAAGAACTCTCTTAGATTTTTTGTTCCCTTTTTTTTATATTTCTGTCTTCCTTTGTTGTTATTATATGAGCAAAAGCAGGGCGATCTTGGCAAGACACAGACAGACTATGAGATTGACTGCCAGACACATGCGCTGGTAACTTGAAGTCCTCCATAAATTGCAATTTCGCAGTCATATTACATGTAATATGAGTAAAAAAAAAAATTAAGGAAAAAAATAAAAAAAAAAAATAATCGGGGTCATAACAATTTATTGCGACTTGTACTGCGATTTCTCTCTTTGAATGTTAGCAAATTGTTTTGTTTTCCTTTTCCGTGGTGTAATAAAAGTTAAAGATACAAATATGTCTTTGTTTATAAGATACAAATTCACTAAGATCCAGTTTGATGCAGTTAAATCTAGAGAGTATGAGTTTTAAGCGGTCCCCCAAAAAAGAGAGAGTGAGAGCTTTGCAGAGAGCTAGAGCGACAGAGAGAGGAAAAGAGATAGAGTCAAAACAGAAGAAAAAAAAACAATAACAAAGCATATAGCATAAAATGTTTTTTTTTTTTTTTTTTCAAATAAATATTGCAAATAAGCAACGTTTGTTTAATAAAATACAAAGTTTAGATATTTTTAAATTTGAAATTTTAATTATTATTTATTATAAAACAAATTGCAGTTGTCACCTCGCCAGCAAAACTGGTAGCGAACATATGATGTGGCTCGATTCGTCGAGCCACAATCGTTCAGATAATTGTACTCTTGTACTTGTGACTTGACTTTTTGTTAATCTATTGAGTATGTATCTGTGTGTGTTTATTTGTATTTCACTTCAGAAAATGAAAAAAAAACGTAACTACACATATATAGGTATATACTGCCTACATATAACTACATGTATGACATTTAAATTGCCAATTGTTACATAAACGAATTGTTATATACATAATATGTTTATATATGTTTATGTTAAATGTGTTGGCGCATAAAAAAAAATTTAATTTGCACATAAGCATACACCCAGCAATATTGTATTGAACTATGCTGCAATATTACAAGATGTAAATTTGTATGTTTGTGTATGTAGTGAAAATTGGCAACTGCTTTCAAGTTCAGCTTCCACTGCAAAATGCATTGCCCAGTAGTAAAAAAGTCATTAACTGAAGCGACAACAGTGTTGCTTGTAGCAATGCTTGCGTTTGCGTGTGTAGTAAGCAGATTGCGTGTAGATATCATATTGCACAAGCAACGAATACCCAGTAAAAATTTTAGAATTATCTATAAATATGTATGTATCTGTATAAATAACTTAATGGCGTACACTTGACTAAAATTAAGGATTAAAATTAGTTTTTATAACAGTTTTTCACAGTTTATTCAATTCACTTAATTGTCAGTTAATAAACTGAATAACTCTGAAAGTGTGGCTTGGGTCAATACGAATACTTATTATATAAATTTGGACCTCCTCAGGATATATCAGGACCTCCTGTTCTTTGCTACAATCTTGTTTCAAAGTAATTCATGTACTATTTTTTTTATTATATAACTACCTTAGCCGTTCGATAGCGTACTCTCTGTTAGTTATTATTAAATAATGTGTTAAATAGGTATAACATATCAATTAGTAATACTATTATTAAAAAAGACCATTAAATTAATTTTTGTCATAATATATAAAAATGTCATAGTAACCGATATTTATTTTTATTAGCATATTATAAGTACTTTTTTGTTATTGTAATTATAGGCTATTTATCATTATAAAGGTAATTAAAAAATAAATATTTTTTTTGTACTTTAATAAAATAATGACTGAAGAAACATCACTTACTGGATACAGTAATAATTTTTCTATTTATTATATATTCGCTTAATAGCTTTTTCGTAATACTAATAGATATTACTTGAGCACATTTCAATCTAGACTTCATACATAGGTTTATTATCTATTTGTATATGTTAACAAAAAATTTTTATTTAGTCAATTTTTGTTACATTCTAACAGTAAAAATTATTTAAAAAAAATTTCGTGAAAAAATGATTAAAAATTGTAATTTTAATGTTTTTGTTTTGTATATTAGTGAGTTTTTTAATTCTATTAATAATAGTTTAAAGACACTTAATTATTTATTTTTATATATTTTCGAACTAGAAAGTACATTCATAAGGAACTAGTTGCTTCCTGTTTATATCACTTTTTTTTTCTGTGTATTTTTAAATACGAAAGAACTACTTATATTACATTTTTCTCTGTGTATTTTTGAGATCGTACGTACATTAGTAATAACCGATAAAATGTGGTATTTTACTAACTAAGAAATATCTAAAAATAATAAACCTCAATTGAAATGTGCTGAAAACACTTTGAAGGGTACGTCAATAAATAATTTTAATTAATTTTTAATATTTTGATACTGTAAAGTTGATTGTAGTCGCTGTCATGACGTTAATGAAATTTCAATTTCTATAGCTGCTAACATATTATCAAACTCTGAAGTGTAGAAACATAGAAATAAACATACATATACATACATACATAGAAATAAAATATAATATGTGAATATTAAAAAAAATATGAATAAAAAAAAATATATGAATATAAAAAATGTGAATATATGAAAAAATTTAATATCAGACGGAAAACTGAAAACTTAAATAATAATAATAATAATGATGATGATGATGATGATGGCTACAAGTAATTTTTTCTCATAATAAAAACGTAGTAGAAACCTAATACTTCAAAGAAAACGTCAACATTTTTTAAATTAGCACGTTGTCTTGTTGTTGTGCACGTTTTTGTTGTTTTTGCTGTTGTTGTCGATCATATATTTTTCAAAATATTTTATTTTGTTATTAATTTATTTTATTAACAAAGCACCACAAAACAGCAGTTTGTGCTGTTTGACGCCAATGAAAAGCAACAAAAAAAAAACAAAACAAAAAAAAAATAAAAAAATAACAAAAATAAAAAACATTAACAATAAAAACAAACAAAATAAATAAATGAACAAACAAACATATCAAAAATTAAGCAAACACAAAACACATACAATTGAACTTAAATTTTAATTTAAACAAAATCATTTTAATATCTCTTGAAATGTTGAACAAAATTTTAGTTATCAACCAAAATTCGCATGAAATCACTTATAAGGCAAGACTCCACACATGATAGCAGTTGTTCAGCCGGGGCAATGGGGGAAAAATCACAATTAGCAAGTTAATAAGCGAAGGCGACGCGCACTGAACATACCACCACACAGTGGTTCTTGCTAAATCCATTGATTTTCAAGTTAATCAGTCAACCTCAATACGAGGAATTCACACAAAAGCCGTTAACGCCAAAATTTATGAAACGAGATTTCAGTCTGCGGTGAAAAAAAAATAAAAAAAAATTTGCATAAACGTAAAAATCCAATTGCTACTTCTCAGTCACAGTGACAGCGTTAGTCACTCTTTACTTGTAACTGAAAAAATTACCCATAAAAACCAAAAACAAAAAAATAAAAAAAAAACCTAAACTAAAATCCAGTTTAAAAAACTGAAACACAGCGGAAATCATTTAAGATTGTTTGATTTTTCGTTTATGGAAATTCTGACTGTGTTCAACTTTACTATAGCGGGTCTACCAAAAACAAAAACAACAACAATTAAAAGATACTGACTCAAAACTCATCATACATATGTATGTATGTATGTATCATATCATATTGATACCATAGAAATTAAGCACACAGTTGGGTGGGGTGGGGTGGTGTGAGATGTAAACCGACACATTGCTTTGCCAGAGTGACCAATAGGCCAAAGTGACTGATAAGCATATGCCGCCACTTATGGTACTGGAAGAGGGATCTGAGGTGGGTTCTATGGGTAGAGCGTTGGGGGAATTTCATTGAGAATTTTTGTTGGGTATTAATTTAATGTGTCGACAATTAAATAAATAAACTTATAGACAGACGCTTGTGTTGTTAATTTATTAAGTATACGTTACGAATTACGAGTTACGAGTTACGTACTTGTGTGCGATGCAATTTAATTTTCAACTCAATTATAATTTACGTTTTCCAGTTAATGGAAATGAGTAAGTTAAATCGATTAATTCGACATATGAGTCTTAAAATTACGAACACAAGTTATACACATGTATATATGTACGTATGTAAGTACTTAATATATAGTTATGATGATTACCAGCGAACACAGTGACAAAAAAAAATATATTATTCAAGGTGGTAGTTTGATATTTATAGAATAATTATTCATTGAATTTAGTTATAATGTAAACAAAACATGATAATCTTTATGTAATTAGTTTCATTGTAATTGATTACACCCAAGCTCAACTTCATTAGTTACATCACTAATTACATAGAAAATGGATTTGATGCGATAAATCGAGTACTTTTTTTTTCACTTTTGAATAACCAAAATTAATATTAATTCATAGGTCGTATTTAATGATTAGTATATTTTTTTTTAAATTTAATCATTAAAATTTTATAAACACAATCTATTTTTATAAAAATAAAAATCTATAAAATTGCTTGAAATATTTCTATAACCCTTAAAGCTATGCGAGTATTATGTATTTTGTCTAACTTATATATGTAAAATTTTTGTAAAAACTGTACGAATTTTCTTGAATCAATAATAAATAATATTAAATAAAAAAAACTAATTAAACAAAATAATATTATGTTATATGATCACCAATATTCGAAACGAATTGACAAATAAAGAAGAAGTAGATAAGTTTATATATGACAACTATTAATACATGACAACCATGTAGTTTCTTTATCAAATTACTCCCTACAAGTCCTTTTCCTTGTTTGTTGAAACGCGAGTTAGTAACTAAAGTATTTTTACTCAATAGTCTCTGTGATAACTTGGGTGATTCACTGTAACAAGTGTTCCATAGAATTATAATAAAAAGTTATATATAACTCATTATTTATTTCATCTTAGAAATCACTTTATTATTATCACGTTATTTTTTAGAAGTATAATCTAAGCTCAACATATCTTCCTGGACTATATAGTTAGTTTATTTAATTTAAGAGAGTACAATTCTGAATTAATGTGAGCATCCACAGATTCCAACAATTTTAGTGCTTTGTTTTGTATGTAATTTTGCATACTGTCAAATCTCAAGTCTTTGTGTATATCTTCATTTCTGTTATACCATGGATTATACGTTTCGATATAAATTGTGATAAGCACAAAGTTTTCTTTACAAGTGTGAACACTTGTCGTAACACTCTTATGTTCAACACTTATCATGTTCCGTAACCACATCCAGTTACTAAATTTAGCCTACATACTCGTACAAAAATATACAAAAATTTTAAGATATCCGCAAAACTTAAGCTGATGAAACTTAATGATGATTAGGATATTATTGCGTTTACACTTTGTGTGAAGCTTTAAGCAACAGTCGCTGACAACAGTCACTAGCGACAGTCACTGACAACAGTCTCTGGCGACAGTAGCTAACGATTCTCACTGTAGTCCAATTATACATATATAGTCCAAGTACACTTATCAAAGCCCGTTGCTTAATCATGCATTTGGCAGGCTTTGTTTTTGTACAATATTTTAGTGTTCGATGAATACGCAACGAATAACCGGTTACTGTTCTAACTTATGATTACAAGTATACTTAGCTGTTCACACTAAGAGTTTCAGAAGTCTTTGTTTATTGGCAATTGCTGAGTTGCAATGGGCAAATTACGCTTCACTTTGTTATATTTATATACAATATATGAATATAAATAAATATACATATTCATATAATGTATATATAACTAAAAATAAACCAAAGCAAAACACCCATTGCGAGTGCGAACATTAATTAACGTGTCGAGCCGTACACATGTGCACTATTTTAATCGCATTCAGTGCTGCTTTGTTTCAAATTTAGCTACTACGAGTTTTAAAGTAAACACTTACGAGTACGAGAACACTGTACTTTATGCAAATACACTAGGTTTCTTTGCTTTATTTTTATTATTTGTTATTTATTATTGTTAGTTCTGTTGTAGTATAGTTTATTTTATCAGTTTATATAACTATTGAGAATATAAATATGTATATTAATGAAGTGTTTTCTTTTTCTATTTGCAGGAAGCGTTGTTAGCCACTAACGATAAGAACGGCTTTAAGGGATTCCGCAAACAATTCAGTGGGCGCTTCAAGCGCTTGGTTGCGAAAAAACCGGAACCAGTCACCGTCATACCACCTGAGCTGAAGCCACAGTTGAAGACCATTTACGTTTATTAATTTTAAATTAAATTTACATATAAACAAATTAAAATTGGGAAATTTACGTTAAAGCACTAAACACTTAATCAACTGAATTAAGACACTAAATTACATTAGACTTAGCTTTAGTTTGTCACCTAAACGTAGCTTTGGTAAGAGTCAAAAATTAAGAAAGAAAACAGGAAAAAATTAAATGAAGAGGAACTACAAACAAACACAAAAAAAATCATGAAGAAAATTATGTGAAGTAATTAAGAAAAAAAATTAACTAAAAAGCAAAAAGACAGTAATAAAATTGTAATTTTAAGAAAATATATGTCACATTTGCTTCATGAAGACTGAGTATAAAATTTAATAGTTAAAGAAAGTAAATTAATAAAAACAAATAACAAAAATTAAATATGTATGAAATGTAAAAGTGAGGTTGCGTACTCTTGATGATGACTCAAGAGGAAAAGCAAAGTTTCACTTCGACAAACTTGTAAGGATTTGCAATGGATTTGCGTGATTTGAAAAAAATAAAAATAAAAATAAAAATAAATTTAAATAAAAACAATGACTGTAAAAAGCGGAAGAAAAAACACTTAAATGTATAACTAAAATCATTTTAAAAACAAAAGACAAAATTGCAGCTGATCCTACTAAGTTTAGTTTAATTTATATATACATCTATATGTGTATATAGATATATTAATTAAAATGTATTATTAGAATCAAAAATAATTATATTTAAAAAACGAAAAAAAATTATATCAAAATTATATTTATTCGCTCACATTGAGTGACACTCTTAATTAATGAAAATGAGAATAAAATTAATCTTACAAATGAGAAATTAATTAATTTAAAATTAAGCAAAAAGTATTTTATGAATTGTGCTGTAAGAATATCAAACAAAACAAAAAGTATCGATTTATGTATTAAATATCAATGAATATTTATTTACAAATATGATACAACATCTGTTTTTAACAGTTATATTAAGATATACAACAAACAAACACACATATATCTACATTTATAAATATGTTTAATGAAATAAGGAAAAGCAATATTAATGCAAGATACGCACACTTTAAGATGTATTCAGTTTTTTGTTCTTATTTTGTTATTCTCAAAAATGAAAAGTTACTTAAATATTTACATATTTTTGTTAAACACTTACAGTATTCTTGATCTTTATTTATCATAAAATTACTTAAAAATAAAATATTTAAATGAACTTAAAAATAAAACTAAATATATAAAAATAAATAACCAGTCTTTTATTTAATCGAGAATTTTCAATTAATTTTAAGAAATTATTTTTCATCACAAAGGACGCTCGAAAAATATCCATAAAATCATTATATTAATTAAATAAATAATTAAAAAATAAAAATATAATTAATATAAATAATATATATGTATATAAGAATAATAATAAAAAGTAATTAAAAATAATTAACTGCAAATAAAAGAATTTAATAACACTAAATAATGATAATAATAATAATAATAAAAATGAAAATAAAAAATAATTAAAAATAATTAACTGCAAATAAAAGAATTTACAACGAAATTTTAAAAGAAACCACTTCTTTCACGAATTTAATTAAAAAGGAACTTATTTTAATTAAAGTTATTAATTAGCACTTTCAAATATTAATTATTGAAAAAAGAGTACATACAAGGAATTTATTTTAATTAAAGCTGTTAATTAACACTTTCAAATATTAAATCTTAAAAAATGTGCATACAACAAATTTATTTTAATTAAAGCTGTTAATTAAAATTTTCAAATATTAATTATTGAAAAAAATTACATTCTAGTATGATATTACACATACTACTTTTTTTGTGGTAGTTGAAAAGTATCGACAAACACAGTGTGAGACTTTAACCCACTAAAACCAACTCTTAGAAAAGAATGGAGAAGATTTCCATCACAAAAACTTCAGAGCAGTAATTTGGGAAGAAAGTTAAAATAAAGAGGTTTAGTACTTATAATTCCAGGCTTAACTAAACCATAAAGCATGGGCGTGGTATAGGGTAGGGTAGGGGTGGTAAGTGGTAGTTGGTAAGGCTGTTACACAAACGCGGGATTTATAAATACCTCACACGTAGAGTAATTCATTAAATACAGCTCGGGTGCAAAGAAATATTAATAATTAAATAAAAAATAAACAAATATTAACTTCATATATATACTTTTTGTTAATTACCAGAGAAATTTACAATTATTGACTGATGTGCTCAATTTAAGCATCGTCCAGGAACCAATAATAGTCACCCGAAATTGCTCTAGAAAAGAAAAAAAAATCCACAAAATAGTTTTGTAAGACTGAAGTGACATTGTGTGAGATAGCTGACACCTTAAAGGTATTGGGAAGTAGAGTTTGAGCATGCGGGGTCTGTGTTTGAAGTAAGTATCCCATTTGTCCACTCAGAACCAAAATCAATTAGTCATAAAGCTATAAAAACAAATACATTGCATTACGCTTGATAATAATTTTCTCTCCAACCTTTTTCTTCAGATCTGGTCCCCAGAGACTGCTGGCATTAAGCAAAATGTCATTAGAGACATTAGAAAGATACTTCATGGAGGGAACTTTGGTTTAAGTGAAGATGTGATACTCACACTATCGCGGACAATGATTGTGTCTTTTTTGAATATTTTGGTACGTTTCACGACCTCACTCTACACATCATTTTGGGCTTCACCAAAGGTTTAAAGATGTTTTTGAACCGTTGAGTTCTTTTACAGTAAAATAATAGATAAATAGACCTAATGAATCGTACGCATGCAGTGTAGGATCAAGTCATATATCAGCTTCTCAGACGTAAACTCAAGTTACAAAAGGCTCAATAGTAGTAGTTCTAAGCTTTTTACGAGTTATATATTCAAAAATTACCTATATGTAGCACAATTCATTTTATAGCTCACAGTATTTGAGTGTTTATTTGGTAATATTCTAATAATAAAAACAAAAATGATATAAATATTATGCAGAAACCGAAATTGATGAATAGTTATTCGGAAACGTATCAATTATTCATCATCAAAATAAATAAATTGTTAATTTACTGTCAATTCCCTTGTTAAATATCAGCCACTTAAAAAAATAATGCGGTCATTTCGTTCATGAATTCCACTTAATTCAAATTAATTTTTATTCAATTATATACGGGTAATTAAACCCAAATATTTCCAAATAAACTTCAATATTGATGGATATTTCATACTAACAGAATTTGATGGATGGTCAATTTATTGGATATTGTCAATTTTTCAAGAGGAATTCAAAAGTAGTAGTCCTTTAAAGTAATCTATTGACTGGCAAGAGTACCTAATATCAGTAACCAGTTATAATTTATTTAAAAGAAGAACGACATTTTAAATTGTATATAATATTGAAAGTATATATATAATAGGCAAACACAACTAGAGAGGGGCTTCAACTGTCATCTTCTAGGTGCTCAAATAGTATTTATAAGTAGATATGTGTATCATGCGATAATATTGTTTATATATGAATCACAATATATCAATTGTACTTTTTTTTAATCGGAATTAATAAATCTCAATTAATTACTTTAATATTTATATCAATAAACGAGTAGATATACTCTAAATTGGGGTCTATCTTTTGCTGATAGAAAGACTATTCATAGTTGATAAAATTCTATATATTAATAAACAAAATGTGTTTACTTAAGTACAAAGTTAAAATTTATTGAAATTCAATCTAAAGTATTTTCTCAGAACTTCTCTTACTACGTCTGTTAATAATATGTTTTTAGTTTATTTTTATAATTTGAATTAAACACTTAAGTAAATATGCAAATAGTGGACGTATCTGAATCTTCAAAACACGCTATTGAAAAATAAACAAAAACATAAACAAATCAAAATAAATAAAAAATAACAAATAAGAAAATAACAACTTAGGCTTATGAATGACATTTTGGTTCCTTAATTTAAGAAAAACCTTTATTCTAAAGTTTTTAGAATAACACCACAACATTTGAAAAGGATTATTATGAGATTTGTAATACACAGTACCTAATATATTCCTTGAGAAATACCTTTTCAAAAATCTATAATTATATTAGTACGTATTTATAGAATTCAAATTTTTTTGGTCTTCCTCTGGTTTTTCCACTTTTTGTTATAAATTCAATCCAATTCTTAAATGAGTAATCTTATGTACCTCCAGGTGAGCTACCTTGTCATGGTAATGGGAGTCAGTAAGTATAATAGTGCTAAGAACATTCTTAGCGGTATAACTATGTAAGTACTACATAGTAACGTTTTCTAAGCGGGATAGTCAAAGGTATCTTCTTTTATGAGTTAAAGTCAACCTTTAGAGAATTAATTATTTAATTGTTCTCCATAATTGAGCAGTGAGAGCAATAATTTTTAGTTACTGAAATGATCCTAACAGCACTAGTGGCAGTAATATTATATTCTATATATACATAGACCCTACAATCTGATAAGTTTTAACGTGAATACAGAATCCAAGCGCGCATTTCACAACTTAAGCGTCTGTTTATCGGATGAAATGTGGCTAGAAGCGGTAGTCTGCATTGATGTGAGCAACCTGCTATATAAAGAAATAAGTAGTAATGAGGTCCATAGCCCATCGCATTAAAATTTAGAAGATGTTATTTTTGGACAGAAAGTACAGACGCAACACAACTTTTAAGAGTAGTTTTAATACATCGAAAAATCTTCGGCAAAAGAGTTTTGGATGTGCCCAAAATTCACAATATAATGATTCAATGATGTAAGCATAACGCTTCACTGGGACTGAAGCACGGCTGACGTGTCAGATATTTTTAATATAAGATTGGTAACAGTATTTCACTAATTAAATGTTCTTTATTTTCATAAATTCTGAAAACTTCACTACACTTTAACTAACCATCTGTGCAATACGATATGATAATAAAAAGTTTTATAAAAACAAACAAACTTCTATGAAGAATCGACGTAATACTCGTAAATAGATGGTGTAATAGATTGGATCGGATTCTTATGAATTGAAATAAAAACCAACTGTCGAGATTTTATTATGCAATTGATATAGATATTGAAATGAATGTGTACGAATATTAAAAAAAAAAAAATAACAAAATCCGGTACAACAAAAAACATATATTCGCAGTTACTTGTCTTTAAGATTGATGGCAACACTGTCAAACGTTTATTGTTTTGTAAATAAATGGAATATATTAAAAGAG